TTGTACATTTGTTGCCATCATCAGTCTCAAAACATTTGCTTTCTACTTGAGCCCTTAATATCAGCTCCTCATTTTCCCCCTCCTTTCCACTCCCCCCAACTCAGTCATTTTAAACAAATAATTTCTCATCTTCCCTAACCCTCAGTGCCTGGAAACCACTGATCTATTTGCATCCACGCATTTGCCTAAGAACGCCTGAGTGGTGCAATTACTTTATTTTTATGCAAACACCCCACACATCCTACTCCCCACTCACCACCCCAACACACGCACACACTTATCACCCCACATTTTCGGTGACTACACTATGTCAACCTTTATTACACATCACTGACTTCAACCTCTATTTCTGGTCACATGGAAACTTCTTTTAAGATGGGTCTTGCTTTTATGTGAACTTTAAGCCAAGAGCCTTTGCCAACAGATCAAAAGTGATATACAAGTTTAACTCTTGTGATGTCCTGACAAATGATCCTTATTCTTGTGTAGGAAGTCATGGAACACTAAGTTTAATATAAAAGCAACGTGTTGGGCCTGTTTTTATATAATTATAACATGAAAGAAAATGACCAGAAAGGTGGTATCTATTTGTCATATGGGATGAGTGAATGAGGGTGCAATCCAGTTCAGGAAATAACACCAGCTATTCCCGGAATATGAAGTGGATTGGGACCCTGCTTGCTAACCGGCTAAGTGGAGACCTCTTAGGTCCTAGAGGCTTTAAGACGACCCATCCCTTCGTGGAGAAGGTGCGCGCCTACCTTATGCAAAAAAGGTCTCCAAAGTGGAGGGCAATCCTGGACAACTTCCCAGAATTCCTTAGGTCCAGAAGTGTCCCTTTCAAAACCACAGGAAACCCCAGACTACGCTTCCCAGAATGCATGCGAGAAACCAGGCCCTCACCCAGCCTTCTGGAAAGGTATTATCTGCTAATACCACTGCCTCTTTGGGGCTCCAGGGCTGTACACCTTTACAGGAGTAGACAGCCTCATCTTTTACCCATGGGGTGGCTGGGGTTCTGAACTGCCAGCCTTGAGAATTTCAGGGAGAGTCCAGCAATTGTAACCCACTGCTCCACCTAGTAAAATCCCTTAGGGTCATGTTGCTGTGTTTTCCCTAAAGCTGTCTCCTAGGATTTTCTCAGCTCACTGGGTCTTTTACCCTCAAAACACTGGGTGGGTTGGAACCATCAAATTTTCTGTTAGCACCCACCCTTATCCGTTACACCATAGGAGCAAAAAAGGGAAGTGAATCATCTTTGAAAGTGACTGAAGGTCAATGCCCTCATTACCTGAAGCATTTGAATAGTGCCCCTTGAAGAAATACATGAAAATCCGCTCCAGAGAAAGAGACCTTCATCCTAAGCCACACATGATTACTTCAACAATAAAATGTATTGATAACGAATGTACAAATGTGCTTGACACAATTGATGTATGTATGGATTGTGATAAGAGTTGTATGAGCCCCCCAAGAAAATGGTTTTTTAAAAAGTATTGAAATCAGACAAACATATTGCAAAATCTACAGATGTTTGGAAAATCTTACACAGTAAAAATCGACATAACAAAGATAAAAAGACAAACTATGTTCAAATGGGAGATGTTAACACACACAAAAGGAAATGTATGACCTTAACTGTCTTTACTCAAACAGAAAATCTAAAAATAAAAATGAGAACATCTATCTCTGGAAGTTAAGAAGCAAATACCAAAGCCAAAGTAAGTGAATGGAAGGAAATGTTCAAAATGAAACCGGAGAATCAAAAGAGAATAAAGAATGGATTTTTAAAAGATCATTCTGTGATTTAAAGAACGAAATTGATAAGAGAGAATGATCAACAGAAAAAAGACAGAAATGACATATTGCCAATTTCAGACAATAAAAAGAAAACATCGTTAAAGCTATGAAGAGAACATTGTCAAAAACATAATACATTTCAAAATACAGGTGGAGTAGATATAATAAATCTATGTAAAAATTACACATAATATGCAGGGAAGAAATGCTTAAACTTTGACCTCGGAAAGTGAAAAGGATGTTCATATCATTTTTCATCAAATTGTAGTAGACCTTGTATCTAGCAACCTGGCTAAGCGTATTTGTCCATTCTAAAACGTATCTGTAAACCCTTCATCTGTAAATACTGACAGTTTGTTCATCTTTTCCAATTATTATGCCTTTTATTGGCTTTCTTTTCTTTGTACGTTGGCTAGGATCGTTCTTTACGCTCAGCCCATTCTTACTTTAAAAAACCCAAACTTTTCGTTTTTGCATTTTCCTCATTTATTGAATGAATTACTTTACAGTGTATAAATTATATATTGTAGATTACATAATTAAACAGTTTTGAAATACAAAATTTCCTCCCAGCTTAAAAACATCAGTTTATTGAGGGCTCTTACAGCTCTTATCACAATCCACACATACAACCATTGTGTCAAGCACATTTGTACATTTGTTGCCTTCATCATGCTCAAAACATTTGCTTTCTACTTGAGCCCTTGGTATCAGCTCCTCATTTTCCTCCTCCTTCCCCACTCCCCCCTTATATCCAATAAGACAGTTTTATTGGATATGTCACATATTATCACGCCAATGGTTTGAAGCCCCCATCTATATATTCCCCACAGTTTTATTGGCACACAATTTACATATCATGCAACTCAATCGCTCAATCATTCCAAGGAGAATTGTACAATCACCACCATAGTAATCTTAGAGCATGCCCCTCCCCGTGGTTAATTCGCCTTTAAAATGAATTCTGCAAGCACAATCAG